TCGGCTCCGGCCTACAGGGAGGGCTGGAGGGGGTCCCGTCCGCCGGCCGGGGGTGAGGGCGGGATGGCGGCGCCGTGAGGATCTCGGTGAGCCCTTCACCTCGGCGGTCGGCGATGGGCAGGGCGGGAGCCTGAGGCCCGTAGCGGCGGGAGGTTGCGCTTGCATCAGGGCGGGAAAGCGGCCTTGGGGCGGGCTGGAGGGGTCGGGGCTCGTGTATGAGGGGAGAAGGGGCTGAGGGTGAGGAGGGGGCTGTGGGGCAGGCGTGTGGAGGATCGGGGCCCGTGGGGCAGGCTCAGCGGGTTATGGAGGCCGTTGAGGGCTGGGAGACCGGGTCCCAGATGGGGAGGCAGCTGTAGGGCAGGCCTGGGAGAGAGAGGGGAGGATTGAGGCCTCTGAGAGGCCTCATGTGCCACACCGGGCGTAAGGCACAGGGCCCACAGGCGGCTGGGGATGGCTCAGTGTCTCCTCTCTTGCTTGCAGCACGCACGGAGCAGGCTGGATGCCCACAGGCAGCCGGACACTATCACAGGCTGTCCGGGTACTCGGCAGGGGCACAGGACTTTTCTCTCCACACACACAGGTTTCTCTGCCAAGACCCTACCTTTGCTGTGTTGGCCTTCCCGAGGCCAGCCCCAGTTACTGGTCCCAGCTGCTGTTACGGCGTGTATCTCTCCAGTCCACAGACAGAAACCAGGGTGGCAGTGCTGGGGCTTTCCATTTCTCCCTGCTTTTGAACACTTGGCTTCGCCAGGCCTGCACAGCAGCAGAGGACATGGCAGAGCAGAGGTACTGCGTAGATTATGCTAAGCGTGGCACGGCAGGCTGCAAGAAATGCAAGGAGAAGATTGTGAAAGGAATGGTGCGCATTGGAAAGATTGTTCCCAATCCTTTCACGGAGTCTGGTGGGGACATGAAGGAGTGGTACCATGTGAAGTGCATGTTTGAGAAGCTAGAGAAGGCCCGGGCCACCACAAAGAAAATTGAAGACATCACAGACTTGGAAGGGTGGGAAGAACTACAAGATGGGGAGAAAGAATTAATCAACAAGCACATCTCAGGTGAGACACAAGGCAGCATCTGGGTCACTCTTCTATTTTACTTGTTTTCAGGGTATGCCACTGATTGCCACACAGCCATCTCTTTGCCACAAAATCCTCACTGATGTATTAGTATGACCTAGCGACAAAGTGGGTAGTACTGCACAAATGTGTGTCTCAGCTCTATAGGAAAGGGAAGACATAGTCACTTCTGCAACAGTACTTCTTAATTAATTTGTCACAACTGATTATGGAGGAGGTCTAGGTGATTTAATTCATGTGCAGAGATGGGCAGATAAATCCCAGGAGGTAGCAGCAGTTATTTTCCATTTGCAGCTTTTTTCCCATGATCTTTAGTAAACTATGTAGTCTTTTAACTTTTGATATCTGAAAAATCTTCCTTCATTTTTTTCTCCTCCATCCCCAGTTCTTTTAAGACTTGCTTGTTGCATTATATCCTACATAATATGTTGATGGATGTATAAGATTATTTCTGACTGCTGGTTTGAACCTTGCTGTTTTACAGAAGCTAATTCCAAGGCTGCAAGTACACCGAAGAAAAAAGTGATAGTCCAAGCCAAGCTCACTGCCACAGGACAACTAACTACAAAAGATCCATTAGCTCTCATTGCTCCATCACCAAAGAAGTTCTCTGGCTTCACAGGTAAGACTTAAGAAACTGATTCTGGGAAATCCTTCTCTTCTAATATCAGTATCAGAGGCATGTTAACTTGGTTCAGATCAGCAGCTTTTTATCTATAGAAGATAGTTTAGTTTTAATTACGTTTTTTAAAATCTGGTTTGCCAAAAACTGTTAGTGCTTTCTTAGGCTGTCAGTCTTGAAGAACTGATGTTTGAGTTTCTAATATTTCCAAGGAAACAAAGTTTATGCAGTAACCCACTTTGTCAGGCTGACTCCACTACTCCCTTAGTCCATTGGCCAATTTCAATCAAACTGCGAAGGTGTAGACTAAAGATATCCCATGTGGAGCTCAAAATCTGTAAAAAAAATGGTTGTGAGGGATTCCCGGTTGCAGTGTTCATGGACAAGAAAACTTACTCCTCAGCAGCTTATCCTGAGAAACAGCTGCCAGCAGGACACTCAGTGTGTGAGCACTGACTGGCCTGACACAGATATGTAGCTCTGAACCGCTCAGGGCACGTGTTGCCACATACACAGCCAAAGAGATGAGAAAGTGTATGGTTGTTAGTATTATGAGAGAGGAGGGGATGGGAACATTTTTTGCCCCATTTTAGAAATGATCTTAGGAAAACATCTTGCTGTGAAGGGCAAAGGCCTATAAAGTAGAAATAAAACAGAAGCATCTGCCAGCAGGAGTTCCTTTTCACCAAGGTGTAATCATATTTGGCAGAATTAAGGTCCAGAAAAATTCTGATCTACTGTGAAGAGCAAAACTAATGAAAAAATAGTTTAGAATTTTTTTTAATGGTAATTGAAATTTAAAGTCACAAATTTTGGCATAGCACACATCACTATTCAGTTCTGAAGCTTTGCCAGTATACTGGGATTGTTCTTTTCAGCTTGCCAAGCAGAGGTGGCTTCAGCTTCAAAATTTGCACCATATTGTACTTGTTAAAAAAGCAACTTCTTATGTCTTTGATGCAGCCAAGCCAAAGAATTCAGAAGATATCTCTGCAAACTTTTCCCACAAGTCTAGCCTATCTGCAAAAAAATGTGATCCGAAGCACAAAGACTGCTTGCTGCGAGAGTTCAGGAAGCTTTGTGCCATGGTTGCTGAAAAGCCTAGCTATAATGTGAAAACACAGATCATCCAGGATTTTCTGAAGAAGGGATCTGGAGGAGGTATGATTCCTGCTTGGCATTCTCAGCATATGAAAGCCCTCTCAAAATCAATCTCAAAAGTATTACTTCAAAAGCAAGGGTGAAATAAAATCTGATTGCTGTGTAGTCCAAGCTGTGTGCTGTGATGATTTCTGAACTATGGAGATAATGTTTGCAAAGTGAACTGTTTATCTAAATAACAAATTCAGATAAGAAAGTCTCAGTCTAGGATTGCAGGGAAAGTTTGTAGGTGCTGCCAAACTTAGGGCTGTGGGATCAGATTTGGAGGACATCTGTGGGTGTTTCCTCTAAGAAGTCTTCTTTCATGTGAAGTAGAACAGCATGGTGGAAAGAGGAAGCCCCAAATACATTTGGTTTTTTTTTTTCCCCAGGCTCATGCTAATGGGCACAAACAACCAGAGCCTGTATGTGAAGATAAATTGTGACAGTTTCTAATAGTCTGTGCTTTTTTTCCCAGATGGTTTTCATGGTGATGTATACCTGACCATTAAGCTGCTGTTGCCAGGCGTCATTAAAATTGTTTACAACTTGAATGATAAGCAGATTGTAAAGCTGTTTAGTAGGATTTTTAACTGCAGCCAAGAAGAAATGGTCCGGGACCTGGAACAGGTGAGTGCAGACACCAGTTCTTTTAATTTCTGCTGTTCAGTCCCTTGGTATGGAAATTCTGTAATGTTTTTTTTTCACTCCTATTTCAAAGGTTGTTAGCTTGACTGTTAGAATGGGAGTTGGTGATTTGGGGGCTGGAGGGGTTTTTTTTGTGCTTTAGCAGTTTTCATAGCCCTTTCTGCCATCTGGAACCTTTAGAAAATATTGTTTGAACAGAAAGCAAGATATGAATTCACCTGCAAAACTTTAGAAAGCAAGACTAAAATATCTAGGCAAGTTGGGCTGCACCCGCTTTGTCTGAACTGCTTTGTTTAGTGTATTCCTATGTAACTGGTCTATAATGCTTTTTTTGTAACATCACATATCAAAAACTGTGGTTCACTTAACAGATCTGTTACTGTGAGCTTAAGTTGGTTCATACAATTAAGATACACTCATAAAATTGCAAGTGCTCACATGGGCATTTAATTCCTGTGCATAGGAGTTGGTAATTGATTATGCACACTTCTGATTCATTGCAAAATGGAAAAAATGGGTGAATTAGATAGTGAAGCTAATTCTTTCACCTCTGTTTATTGCCTTGGTATATGCTGGCTTCTAGTGACATCACTAGACTCTTTCAGATCCTTGGATTTACAAGTAGATTCATCCTGATGAAATAAAGGGTCTGTGATGCCGTAGCAGTGAAAAACAGGGCAATAAGATACTGGTACTCTTACCATTTTTTGCACATGAAGCAGCTGAGAAGCTTTATTCTGTGTCATGGCAACTTTTTTCTAATATTTGATTCCAATTCCTTCATGCAATCCCAGGATCATTCCTGTGCTTTATCCTACTTACTGGAACCATGTTGAATCCCCAGTGGCATCTCCATTCTCTAGCCATAGCTCTGATCCACACCCTTATTTTGTTTTTGGAGACAGGGAGATGTTTCCGAGACCATACGCCTCTTCTTTGAACAGAGCAAGTCTTGTCCTCCAGCAGCCAAAAGTCTCCTGACCATCCAAGAGGTAGATGATTTCCTCATCCAGCTATCAAAGCTTACTAAGGAAGATGACCAGCAAAGTGTGCTGCAACATATCACTCGCAGGTAAGGAAAGTAATTGGCCTCTGAAGGTTTACCCTAAAACTAGGAGTGGTTATCTACATATCACAAGCTGGAACAGGTGAAAAACTAACCGTAAGCCACAGAGACTGAACTTAACGTCTGTAAGCTGGTATTTGTGGTTTGATTAAGACACCTTGATTGCTGACCAGCAATGGAGAACATGTATGGCTCCTGTTTGTGCCAGAGAATTTTATCCTTGCCTGTCAAGACACTGTTCAATCGGTACTAAACAAGTGGCTTGCAGAACTGCCTTAATGGTACTTAGCTGTTAATTAAGTTACTGTTCTTGGGTATGTTGGGAAAAGCCTTCAAGCCATTTAGACACGTTGAAGATTCTTGGTCTGGCTCACTTTCTGTTGATCTGAGGCTGAGGATGTTACAATCACTTACTCTTGATACATTAATTAAGTGAATTTTGCAAGGTATGTCAGCACTGAGGCAGAATTAATACTGGCATTCAAACATAAAGATGCTAAAAAGCCTTTTGGATATTCTCATGTGCCTCTGAGATGTCACTAGTAACGTGTCCTCATTTGAGTTTAAACCCTAAAGAAGGGGAGGACCTTTTTGTACAGAGGCCTGGATCAGTTTCTTTTTTCCAGCTGGAAAGTAGTTCAATTAAATGTCTACCATCTCTGAATCTTCTCTCGCACTTCAGATGTACGGGCAATGACCTGAAATGCATCATCAGGCTAATCAAGCATGACTTGAAAATGAATGCTGGAGCAAAGCATGTGTAAGTCTTACCTTTCATTGTGAGATAAAACCAGAAGTGGGCATTAGCCTCATAAGCCAGGAGCAGCAGACCTGAGGTTGACGCTTGGTTTCCCTCCTCTCCTCAATTAAGGTTGGATGCTTTGGATCCCAATGCTTATGAGGCGTTCAAAGCATCACGCAACCTCCAGGATGTGGTAGAGCGAGTCCTGAAGAACCAGCAGGAGGCTGAGAAGATGCCAGGTCTGAAGCGAACCCTCAGTGTGCAGGCCTCTCTGATGACCCCGGTTCAGCCCATGCTGGTAATGTTGGCTCCCCTGCAATGGTAACCTTCAGCCGAGCAAGAGATGGAGCTCTCATATGTACTGTCAGAGACCCTCACCTTTAAGAATCAGTAGATGGATAAGTGACTGTGTGTAGTATGAGCTAACAGTGTGCAGTGCTGATTTTTATGTTTAATGCCATTTTATAAAGTGTTTTCTACGAAGAGGCCAGTATTCAATGTACTCAGTACTTGCACCTTCAGTGCCATTGCAAAAGCTAAAATCTTGACTTGCTTTCAGTCCAGAAGTGACTTTTTTGTTTGTTTTCTGTCATTCCAGAAGTTGATCCTTTCTCTGGAAATAGCATGAGCTTTCCATTGGATTAGAGATTCAAATAAGTTTGGTTTTTTTGTTTGAACAAATCTGAGTTAAATATCTACTTCTGAGCTAGGCGCACTCCTCCAAAAGGCACAGTGCTTACAGCTTTAAGTATTTGGAGGAGATAAGCACTGAAAACCTGTAATTATCTGGGCATATGCAAATGATTCTAAGTAAATGAGTAATTAAGAAAAGGAAAACTTGGACTGGATATGAGAGACCCTGGACAAAATGATCTACAAAGGAACTGGTAGTTGATTCATGAACTTTGTAAGAGTAGCTTTATATTTAAATATATCATGTGAGCTTGTTTGGAACTTGTCTCTCTCCACCTTTCTAAGGCTGAAGCCTGCAAGTCAATTGAGTATGCCATGAAGAAGTGCCCAAATGGCATGTATGCAGAGATCAAATATGATGGCGAGCGGGTGCAGGTCCATAAAAATGGAGATCATTTCAGCTACTTCAGCAGAAGCCTCAAACCTGTCCTCCCACATAAAGTAAGCACCTACAAACTGTCTTTTCTGTTGTGCCAGCTCCTCTATAAACACGACTGAATTTCACAACAGTTTCCATAGGCCAGGAGGATAACTTCTGTTGTAGAGTTTTTTCCTAATTTATGTAGATACTTGGAATCTGGAAAAGCAACACTTAATAGAGTTGTAATCAATTAGTTTTAGTGGACATTAAGAACTTGAAACTAAAGTTAAGCTATCTGCCTTAGAGTCCTCTTTATGCACTGCATTTTGGGAGGCTTGATGCCAGTTGGGTGACTTGGTTATATTTGTTCAAGACTCATTTTTCCATTTGTAGACTGTGCTGTCTGTACCACAGTAGAAAGTAAAGCTAGTGCAGATACGCCTACATGTGCCTCAGACACGCTTCTGGAGGAAACATCTGCATTGGAGTGAGTCCTTCTCTTCAGCCAGTAGATGTATTTTTCTTTTCTTTTTTTTTTTTTTTTCCCAAGGTAGCCCATTTTAAGGACTTCATCCCAAAGGCTTTCCCTGGTGGGCAAAGTATGATCCTGGATTCAGAAGTTCTTCTGATTGACAACAAAACTGGCAGGCCACTTCCTTTTGGGACTCTTGGTGTGCACAAGGTAAAGAGAAGAAAAAAATAAAAATCCTTTGTTGTGGTTGGAGGCTATTACTCTGCTGACTTAAAATGCACTAGCATGTGATCTGTTATCACAGGATAGTTTAAAAAATCTGGTGCTTGCTAGAGCATCTGGGGAAAAAAATAAGATCCCTGAGAAGGCTGATATTAATGAAAAAGGTACTGCTCTAATACAATATATTTGATATTAACCTGATCACTAGCAGAACATCAGCTTGAGATAAATGTTAAAAACACCTTGGAAAATCTTGCAACTCTGTCATTGCTTATCATTGCTTGAGCAATGTATGACAGACTTGAAGATGACAATGATGTCCGTATGAATGTAGTGCTTATGTCTAGACTAAATGGTTGTAAGGAAGAGGACAGTAAAATGAAAATTAAACTGTAAGTGCTTTAACTTAAAGTAGCCATTAATCTGAAGTCTCTGGAACGCTTGTTGGTTTTTTGTTGCAGCAGTAGTGATGGTTGTTACATGGCCCAAAGTCATTAATATTTGTGGTGTTATTTCCCTGTCACTAGGAAATTAGCATGTTTTATCTTCTTAGTTTCTGTTTTGACACATTCAGTCTAAATCTTAATTCTCAGAATACTTCTGTCTTTTAGAAGAGGCCTAAGCTCATTATAACTAAAAGATTATGGAGATAAAAATACATCCTTTTGTTTCTGTTAGTTTTCTAATACTCCATATTGCTGCTCGCTACAACTGCAGATTTCTGTTAATCCATCTTAATTGTCTTTCAGAAAGCTGCTTTCCAAGATGCCAACGTTTGCTTGTTTGTGTTTGACTGCATCTATTTCAATGACATCAGCCTGATGGACAGGTATGTGTCTGGCATAGTGTGAGAGTAGCCTGACCGGTTTCCCAGCATGAACTTGCTGGAACACACTACCACTGCAGAGGGAGCAGTTCACATTGGCTGTTAAGACTGGCCATTTACCCCTGTAAAATCAAGACAGCATGGGAGAATCCTTGCTGTGCTAAAGAGTTTCACTGCGGAGCTCCATCTTGCTCTGCAGTTCTAAAATATCAGGATTAACTGCATTTCAGCTGAACTGAGTGTGGTTCAGTACCCAGCTCATCTTACATCCTCTGAAACTAAATGCACTCTTAACACAAAAATTCTTTCTGGAGGAAAGTAAGAATTGATTCTCCTTTCTGCAACCCTGTAGGATAAGTAATTTAATTATTTAAATAGCTTTTCTCAATGTTCATGTGACTGGTACTTCATGTTAAAACTGCTTTCTTGTCCTTAATTATCCATGCCCTGGTTTAGGCCTCTGTGTGAACGTCGTAAGTTTCTCCATGATAACATGGTTGAAATCCCCAACCGGATCCTCTTCTCAGAGATGAAGCATGTCACAGTGAGTTCAATGTTAAAATAGCATGCATGGTGATCTCATAGATTGCACTCTGGGCACTTCATTGCTCCTTTACCACATGGCCTTTTTTATAATTAAGGCTGCAAATCCAGCAATTCTCTGCCCGTCAAAATGGTTCTATTTCTGCTCTGTGTGCAAGACTTCTTGAGCTAGTGTTGTTTAAAAGGGCCATGCCTGTGCTCCCATCTTGTCTCTGCTACCACCACTTCAGTATAATCTTAACTTGCACATCTCTTTTTTTTTTTTGGCTGGTTAATGATTTTATAGTCATTGTAACTTTGACATTGTTAGGAGGAGCTAAAGCCTGTTGTAACTTAGTCTGTACAGTGCAGTGCTGAGCTGTGTAGAGAAGACGGAAGTATGATTGAAAGGAGCTAGACTGCTTCCAGTTCTCAAATTGGCAACTTCAAATTGCCACTACAGCCCAGATACATCCTGAGTGCTAAAAACCGCATTTAGACAGCAGCATGCTCAGTTTTTCCTTTGACTGTTATGCACAAGCCATATGTCCCATTATTTTTCCCCACTGCTACTGATTTCTGTAGTACCTTGGTTTTCGTGGAGAATGCTTGTACTTTTGGGGCAGAGAAAGCATTTTTGGGAAGAAGAAAAGAGCATAGGTCCCAAGGCAGTTGGATAGAGAAGTATGCAGACACTGCTGGCTGAGGAAAATCTAGTCTTGTACATGTGGGACGTCCTCAGGATGCAATCAGTATGGCTGCCTCGTCTCTTGAGTATTTTTTAACTAATGAAACCTTTTCTTCTTGGGACATGTTCCCAGCTTAGTCACTGGATTTGCAGCAAAGAGAACACGTATGGGACTCTCCTTGGAAAAATATTATATGGAGTTACCCATTCATCTCTCTGCAGTTGCGTTGGTTTTAGTGCACCACTGCTCTGAACAGAAAGCCTGAAGACCACAGCCCTTTCACAGTCTTGAATTAACCATGATTCCTTTCATTTTCAGAAAGCTTCAGATCTGGCAGATATGATCACCCGAGTCATCCGTGAGGGACTGGAAGGACTGGTGTTGAAAGATACAAAGGCAGGTTTACATTTACTCTTCACTGGTGTATGCTGGGAATTGGGGAATAACAACAGACAGAGGGCTGTGGATGAAGCACACAAGGCTGAGCATCCTTGAAACATCTCTGGGTTCTTGTTGAAGCTGACATCCAATTCAAGTTGCTCCTTAAATATCTGAGCACTGCTGTGTTCTGGTACTGCTAAGCTGGATAAAAGCAAGGGCTTTTTGAGGAGATAGCTGCCCACCAGATGATCTTTCTGACGGGGGTTCTTGCCTTGTTTTGCACAGGGTAATTATGAACCGGGAAAACGACACTGGCTGAAAGTGAAAAAGGACTACTTAAATGAGGGTGCAATGGCTGACACAGCAGACCTAGTGGTGCTGGGAGCTTTCTATGGACAAGGCAGTAAAGGTAAGTCTCTGGAGTTGGCTTAAGCCAGAGGATCTGTCAGTTCAGAAAACTCTGAAGCTTTTTCCCGTTCCAAGCCTCCTGTAGCATTTGGTCTTCTACCAGAATGAGACTGGCTGTAGCAGTGACTCTGCTGCAGCCCATCACGTGCCAGGCTATGAGTTTACTGTGGGTTAGTTGGCACAGCAAAGCCTTAGGTCTTGGGCTAGGCTCTTACACAGTGTAGAGGCTGGGAGCTGATGCCGTTAAGCCATTACAAGCCTAAGGCCCTTTGACTCCCAAAGATGGAAAAGGGTTTTGGTTCATTACTTTGCTTTTTGAAAAGCTGTGTCTTGTCCTGTAGAAGATGTGAACCACCCTGCTCTCCCCTCCTGCAGGTGGGATGATGTCCATCTTCCTCATGGGCTGCTATGATCCCAAGAGTGAGAAGTGGTGCACTGTGACCAAGTGTTCTGGTGGCCATGATGATGCCACCCTGGCACGTCTGCAAACAGAGCTGGATATGGTGAAGATCAGCAAGGTGAGAGGGGCTCCAGCATGGAGGCAATCGAAGGAATGCTCAGGAAAGGGCTTGGTAAAAGCCTCCTTCCTGCTGAGCTACAGTTGAGGTGCTGGCTAAATGCAGAATTGAAGTGCTCTGCTGGCAATGAATAGAGGCTCGATTAGAGTTAAAGCAGCTAAACTGCTCTGACACAAATGAGGTGTTGGTGCAGCCAGCTTCGAGATGAGGCATGCCTGAGATTTGTACTCAGACACTGAGTGGGAAGGCAGGCACCATCTGTTTCCTGCTAAGTCAAAGTTTTATTAGGAAGAGCAGAGGAAGTTCCATTTTTTTTTTTGCATATTGCAGTTGGTGAAGACAGTCACTAGATGGGGCTGCGGGTGAGAAATGCTCAAGTCAGACTATTGTCTTGTGGCTAGATAACCCGACATGTTGGAGTTAAAAGACTTTTTGTGAGTGACTTATTAAGGTGAGGAATCTTGCTTTTCAAGACTTGACAAATAACAGAGAGCTGAATTTTAATATTTACTTGACATCCTGAAGGCCATTTGCATCAAGGTTATAGAATCTTAAAAAAATGAGTAGTTTTATATGAATCACAATTAGAGCAACAATTTTATTGTTTTACATATAAAATGACAGTAATTGAGAGCTACGTTAAAGACATTTTTGTGATTCTCTAGATAAGAGAAACTGCACTGCAGGCTAAAGCAAGTTTCATACATACAAAGGCAATGTAACACCTATATGCTAATCTACTTCTAGGTTATCTTTCAGCAACTTCTTTTGTAGAAATAGGTTCATATGTGATCATAAGTGCTAACATTTCCGTTTTGTGCTTTTAATTAATAGGATCCTAGTAAAATTCCAAGGTGGCTAAAAATTAACAAAATCTACTACCCAGACTTCATTGTCCCAGATCCAAAGGTAAGTGCTGTCATAGTTATTTAACTGTTTTCCAGCCCTGATATAGCAATCTGCTATACTTATTTAAGTGTACAAATTATCTCTGTTACAAGATTAGTCTTCATACTTGGAACAGGAAATTAAGTGCAAGTTTTTATCTCTGAATCTTGCAGGTGCATTTGAGGCTAAGAGCTTCATGAAGAAATCATACCTGCAGCACTTCTGGGAAATATTCTTGTTCATTAAATCGCAACCAGAAGTGAACTTACTTTAAATTTGAGGCATGAAAAATCTGACTTGAAATGGTTGAAGCAGAACTGTAACCCAAAAGTTGTTATTGTTTTACAAAATTTATCAGTATGCTTTGCGCCATTACATCTGATGGAAAAGGTGTTATTTAGAAATTAGCATTATATATTAGTTGAGGATCTCTGGCTCGCTGAAGAAAATGGAAGTTTTTCTAATTAAGGTGACCGCAAGAAGGTCAGTTTGTGTATATGAAACCCTGTGTGCTGGCGCCCAGAGGGGGGCTGTTGTAGAGGTAGAGGAGCACAGACGCATTAGAGTTACTTCATGAAAGAACATGGGAATGTGATGTGACTTCCTCAATACTGTGTTTAGAAAGCCCCAGTGTGGGAGATCACAGGGGCTGAATTCTCTAAAGCCGAAGCCCACACTGCAGATGGGATCTCCATTCGCTTCCCTCGCTGCACCCGCATTCGAGATGACAAAGACTGGAAGACAGCCACCAACCTCCAGCAGCTTAAGGTGAGTTAACGCAGTATGTCTGCAGCTTGTTCAAGAATAAGTTCTGACAACAGTCTATATTTAAAAAGACAAATTTGGATAGCAGGATATGTAGTGAAGGTATCTGCTGACTGGTACCTGTGATGGCATGTTACATTTTCCATTTATTCTAGGCTCAGGCTGCTTGCTGGATTATTTTGATGTAAGTCTTATTCTTCCATGGGGCCTCTCAAGTCTCTTGAGTTGTTGTGTTGTGCACTTTCAGGAAAGTCTGTGCTGGCAGCTAGTTGTATCAGCTCTTGTAACAGCCTTCATGGTAAGAAATTTCCTTCCTGAAAGAGGTGACCTTTATTCTCTTGAGCGTTTATGGTCATTTGGTCTCCCATTAATTGCTGAGATTGAGGGAGGCAACTGGGAAGTGACTAAGGGTAGCCTGGCCCAGTTCCAGGGCACAGGGGCCAAATGGCAGTCAGCCAGGACCCCTGGGGCTGCACCTACCCCACACAGCTTCTACACCTCCTTAACAGATAGAAACTGGTTGGCTTGCTGCCATCCCTAGCAGTAAGTCAGCTGTTGATGAGCTCTGTTCTCAGTCTAGTTATTGTCATTTGGGCTGTCTTCACACTGCCTACAGGGATACTGGCAGCAGATGTAAGTGCTTGTTATGCCACCGAAGCAAGGAGTGATTCAGCCCACCTGCTGTCCTGCAGTCTTTCTGGCTCCCTAGGGGAGAGAAAGGTAAAATATCCTCTTCAGACAGACTATTCCCTGCGTGAGCAATGGGTATTGTTCATTTGTCAGGCTAGGGAGCCAGGCTCTGAAGAGTTAGTCTGTCTTACTCTGTAGCAGATGATGTGAATATGGATCTTGGTACCTCCTTGTATGGCTTCCCTTAATGTCAAGCAGCTAGGTGGAATGCAGAGGGCTTGAACAAAGTTGACAGGAAAATGGCTACAAAGATGTGCAGGAGGAACAGGGGCGGGAGAAGCAAACAGACCATGGATTACAGCTCGTGTCTAATGTCAGAGGTTTCACTGTGGCTAAGGGCAGTGCTTTGTTTCTGGCGGGACAGGAGCTGTACCAACTCTCCAAAGAGAAGGCTGATTTCAGTGTAGCTGCTGGGGAGGAAGATGAGTCCACAGCTGGCAGCAGTGGAGAGAATGAGGGAAATTCCAGGTCTTCCACACCACACAGCACTATTAAAACTCCCCCAAGCAAGTCACCTGCAAAAGCCCAGAAGCCAGAAGGTAAGATGGTGTTTTCCAGGGAGAGGAGCCCTAGGGTGTGTCCTTTGCGTTTGGGGCAGGCTGGCTTTGGATCTGTGTCTTCTGTCAGATGCTCGAAGATCCCATGGAAGTTTTTATGTGCACATCAGGGTTAATGGGCAAAGCTGTTTAGGCCCTTGGTTTGGCCTGTGTTGTTCATAGCATGAATAGCCACACCTCTGAGGTGTGCTGGGGTTGAGAGGAGATGGAAACAGCACTGATGATGCTGTTCAGACTGGTGTTTAGGCAACCCATTTAGACAGTAAAAACTCTCTGAGGTTATACGCTGCCTAGAACAGGTATCTTGAACCTAGCAGAGTCTCAGTTACAGTTAGTGCCAAAACTACTTTGGAGTGATTTTTCTGGGACTGCAGTCCATGTTAAGCTTATTAGATCAAGGTCCTTAGCAGACTGTGTAAGACTGATCTGAACAGCAAACCTCTTGCTCCCGTTCCTGCAGATCACATGCCCTTTGGTTAGACATTTTTGGCCATGAACCAGGATTTAATTTTATTTGGATGAAATTCATGCATATAATAGGGCACCTGGATGGTGGGGATTTCCAGGTAGTAAACTGCAAAGCTGTGAAATGAGTTTGCTTCACCAGTGCTTTGTCACTGGGGAATAACTTGAAGCAAATTTCTGAGCAGTTTCAAAAAGACAGTGTGGTGATAGCAAGGAGGGAAGTTGAACAGCAACATCCTGGAGATGAGGGCAGGAAGATGCTCCACACCATTTGCAGTAGAAAAATGTGTCTTACTAGTTAGGTTCTCTAATTCATGGATTTTTCCTGAAAGAACAGGGGAAAGCCTTTTACCCCCTTTAGTCTTCTTCCCCCACTTTAATACACAACCAGTAGCTGGACAGAGAACACAAATGAGACAAGTGTTTGTTTTTAGAAAGCAAAGCAGTCATTGGATCCCCTGAAAAATCAGAGGAGAAACGAGGAGAGAAGCGAAAAGCATCTGAGATGGATGACAATGGAAAAAAGGTATGGACAGCAACCACTTTGGGGTGGGATGAAGCTCAGGCAGTTTCAATTGTCTGTTCACTTTTGCCTCCCATCTGGAAAAGTCTTTGAAATCTTCCTATAGCAGCACCCTAAATTAAAATGAAATGTAAAGGCAGAAATAGCAGCAACAAGCTGCCTTGTAAAGGAAGCGGATGGCTGCAGCTTTTCTTTCCTGTCTGCAGAGCTGACATAACTGGGTTTGTCGTGCTAAAGGCCAATACTCTGTTTGCCCACCAATGTCCTGCTCTACAAAGTGTTGTGACTGCCGAGCGGCTGCTCCTCCTGAGTGCTGCACATGAAGAGTTGGGAGCTGTAAAGGGAGAGAACTGTCCTTTCTAGCCTATTGTGCAGCAAATTGTAGGAGTGGATTAAGAATCACTGAGCTATAATTTCCTGATAAGCTTGGCGTACCTATTGTGATGTAAACAGCACGTCCCTTCCCAGGGCAGTTGTGTTCTCCTACTTTAACTAAGAAGCATCAGCTTGTAAAGACAAAAGACATTGAGATCATGTTCACTGGACCACATCAGCATCACCACTAAGGGGAATAATGGGGTAATAATTCCCCTTAGCTAGGGAAGAAGCACTGTTCAGCTGTAACATCTGGTTTTCAGAGGAACTGTATGGGTGTTGCTCTTGTGTATGATTTAATGGTGGTCCAAAGAGCAATTTACAATTATTAGGCATGGGATTAGAATGATAACCTTGAGAGCTGTGAATGGACTTGTTCATGCCTCAAAGAATTTAGTGTAATCTCCAGACCAATCTAATGTTTTACCAACCTGTGCTTCTCATCCTCTTTCACAATATGCAGACATTGCTGGACATATTCACTGGTGTGAAGCTGTACCTGTCGCCCTCTGTGAAGGACTTCGACAAAATCCGACGGTACTTTATAGCATATGATGGGGATCTTGTGCCAGAGTTTGACACAGCCTCAGCAACGCATGTTATAGGGGACATTGATGAGAATCCTGGTGCTAAGCGTGTGTCTCCCAACTGGATCTGGGAATGCATCCGGAAACGGAGACTGGTAGCCCCATGCTAGCAATGTCTTGACACAAGAATTCCCTGAAGGGAACAACTGAGAACTAGGTAGGTGGAAGAAATGGTGAGATTCCTCTGTGGAGATGTGGATAGAAATAAAATGCTCAAGTCCATCAGAGGTAGTTATAAAGATCCATAGCAACCATATGGAATTAATTAAAACAACTCTTTGAAGAAATGTCACTGCTGAATCCATTTTTCTGCCCATAATGTAGACCACTGCACTTATCTAGGTGCTGGTTTAGTCTCCTTGGGTTTTTAAAGTTTGGGTATTTTTATAGATAAAGAAATAAAACTGAAGCAGTTTCTCTTTTGCTGTCAGGACTTATTTTCCAAAGGTTATTCTCTGCCTGGACAGGAAAACAGACCACCAAATATGTGAAACTATTGCCAGGATCATTTTGCTGCATGGCTGCAATTTATGTGAAGGACATGTGTCCTTCTGGCTTTTTTCTTTCCTGTCTTTCAACATTCAGCACAGATCTGTATCCCTTAGTATTACACCTCTGCTGTAGGTTTCATATTAAAACTAGGACACTGAATAAGCTTCAGTACAGCAACTGCTGCAGCATTATCCAAGTGTTCTGTTGGAGTGTTTGTTTCTGGAATATGTTGCTCATGCGTTCCGCTATTCATGTTTCAACAAGTAAAAGCTGAGAAAGGAACTCTGCCATCTGGATCTTTTAGGATAGCTGAGAGACCTTATCTGAAGCTGTTCAAAATGACTCCAAGCACTTGAATATTAATGAAATAAGGAAGATGATAGGTTCTAGAAATTAGGGGTTCGTTTTAACTTAACTGTTTTGCAAATTATGATATGCATTTGCTGAATAACTGCATGAGTAGACTGAGTGCATGTGTACATTATGAAAGGAAAAGTGAGTTGACCAGTTTACTGGTTCCCTTAGTCTGTCTCAAGGGTACAGAGCACGCTCTCCCCTTTGTTGTGAAGATTATGTTAAGATTGTACTGCTAAAAAGTTAGTATTGTCAGTTAACTTTTTTCCTTCAACCCCTTTTGTACTTGTACCCCACACACCAATGCTATTTAAGCACTTGGCATCCCAAGCCCTTCTGGTTGAAATTTAGAAGTAGCTGTAGGATCTCTGCTTTCTCCTAGCCTGGTGGTAACAGAGTCAGAAAACAAGGTTAACTAAATCACATTTCAACTTTATTATAAAATTATAAACCAAACTTCTGTACCAAAACTAGTAAGTTTAACTGTCATAGTACCAAGAGGATTTAATAGAGAATAACATGCCATTTCAAGTAGAATATTAACTTTTAAAATATTTAAACTATGTACAGTGTATGTAAAGCACATAAATATTTCCATTTACTTTATTAGTTCAGCTCATTATATTCCTTTGGATCATTAATCAATTTCCTCCAGATTTTGATTTTCCTTTAATAACAACTCAACCATATCCATAAGTAGCAAATCCATTTTTGCAAGGGAAACACTGTAGCCAGGAGAAACAAACAAACAAACAAAAATCTTCCCTTCAAAAAGCACATTTCAGAGTCATACGGTGGGTCTATCTTCTCATTCCTACACTTTCAGGCATTGATCTGCAATGTATCTGATCTGCTGTAGAATATAAGCCTAACCTCTACAAGTAAAAGTGTATCTGTCCACAGGGGAATAATCTTCTTCCTGCTAAATTCCCCCAGCCCTGAGTTTATTGAAAGATATGACAACATCAGTTTTCACAGTGAATTTACTACATGAGGCTGTTCAGCACTTTGTATGTGTATTCCTGTACCTCTTCAAGAGGTCCCTGTGAACCTTTTGAAGAGTAAATACAGTTACTGCTTACTTGCAACTTTTTTTTTCTTTAACAACAATGTGTTGAATTGTACCAGTACTCTTCTCATGCTGGAAGCTGTTAAACCTTAAGCCAAAGATTAGAGAACAACCTGAACAGGAAAGAGGTAAAACTTAGAATTTTTAGTTCAATAAAACTCAGCAGCTGTTGCATTTTTTGTGAAGTTCAGACCACCTCAATAGTGCAGAGGTTCTGCTACCTACTGAGTGAGTGACAGATTTCTTCATCTTAAGTAAGTAAGTAAGTGCTTTATTGGTTCCAACTTGCAGAGACCTCCACTCCATGCCAGTTGAGAAGTGAGTTGCTATTCATGCAATATTCCATGTTAAAGATTACACAAGTTTAATTTGCTGTTAACATATATTGCCACTTATTGGTAAAGAGGTGGGTTCAGTGATCACTGCTGTAACTACACTTCCACTACTGCAGAAGCTGTAAGTGGACACTTGGATTTTATGCTGTTCCTCTGCTGGCAGCCATGCAGAGATTCAGTTTGAACACTAAGTGATCATGCCCCCCCCCCTAAAGGGGAAAGCTAGACAGGAAAAAACCTGCAGCAGAAGGTACTCAACTTCACAAATGACTTGAAATGAGTATACAATCCCATGGTGGCTGAAAACTTAAGGCATCAAGATTCTGAAGCTTAGCTGTGTTACCAGCCAAATGGACTGAATGCTTGCAGGCCACAGAGGGAAAAATATGCCAGTCACAATTTTCTCTAGGAAGGCTTCCAAATGAACATGCTGTTCATGAGGATAGCTGTAAGGGCTTGCAATTGTCACATAGCAGACCACAGAATCTCCTATCCACCCTCACAAGCAGAAAGCGTACAAAATTGCTTTTGATAAGCAGTCTAAATGTAACAGGACTGTAAAATTGAGCAAAGGGGAGAATAGGGGGGAAGCTGATTAGTGAACAGAAGCAGCTGCAATCATGATCGCTCATCTTACTGATTCAAGGGAGATAAAGTTTGCTTTCTTTCATGTCTCCCCTCTAAAAAGAAAGTCACCTGTACTTAAATACGATTGTATAGCAACAGAATCCTTACTACTCTTTAGCTGTTATGTTTTCCTCACTAAACCCTCTAAAAGACTCAAGCCTTGGATTCATAGCTCCTTAATCAAGTGAAGTCAGTTCAGTTTTAAAAATGATTGCTGGCATATACTGTAAGGAAGCCTGTGAATTCAAAGGGATCAACAACAGTCAAACTAGAAATCTCCCTCTTGCTGGCATGTAAACAGAAAACCACCACCACACAAGGTAAGGCTGTATGTTTCACAGAGTCTCAGTCACCTTACATTTTTCAGTAATACAAAGTCCATCTTCAAATAAAATTATACATTTTTCCACAATTGCACTAGGCTAGAATTATGCTTATTCCGAATACAGAAATCAGAGGCTGTCTGCCTGTCCTGCAAGCATAAGAATTTGACATTAAATTTAAAAAAAAATAGGTACAGTAATATTTTAATCTTTGAAAATAAAGTTGTTGCTGGGTGTATAGCCTAAGCAGCAAAACAAATGTCACTTTTTGAGACCCCAGTCCACATTTATTATTCAGTGGAAAATACAAAGCCTCTGAATCTGATCTTTATGGTGGAAAGCCAAGCATCCATCTATCCCAACAGCAGTGGATCAAATTACTCTACGATGTAGGTTGTTAATGATTTCTGTGTCTGCTGCTGGCAGTAAGCTCCGAGGAGTCCAGGCACTGTGGTGTAAAGCACTATAGTGGGAAGAACACAGCCAGGTGTGGCTTTAGTAAGAGCAATTTTCCCCAGGCTTCATCCTTCCCTCACTTCCAGCTTCCATTGGGGTCCATATGCTAACCTCTGACCTAGTTGTAGCGATTTTGACCATTTCTCTAACAGAAGATGAGGCTTTAAGGCATCACCAGTCTTCTTACACACAGTTAGGACTTAAAGACATGGACAGCCCTTATCACATACTGCCTGCATATGGGACATTCACTCATCCGCTTCCCACACTTGGTGCAAGTGACCATGTGGCCGCATTCTAGCAGGACACAGTCAATGGGTGCGTCCATGCAGATTTTGCAGAGGTTGTCCTCCATGCCAGGGAGCCCAGCACCACCTGAGTAAACAAGAGACCACAGTTTGCATGACAAAGAAAGGTATGTTGGTTTTGTGCAATCTGTTGAGTTGGCTTTATCAAAGGGCTTCCCTGAGGTACTTCTGCATGCTGAAGGTCTGAAAAAAATCCCCCTCCCATGCATCTACACTGATGTGGATATATCTGCTCCATCAAATGGCAAGGAGCAGAAAGTTTTAGCTTTTACATAGTAATTTCTGTGTGATGAAAACAGAAATGCCACTGAGATTCTTAGCAGTGAGGCAACATGGGTCTCTTTTCCCAAGTAAAAAGTGGTAGGACGAGGGGAAACAGCCTCAAGTTGTTCCAGGGGAGGTTTAGATTGGCTGTCAGGAAAAATTTCTTCACTGACTTGGAACAGGCTGCCCAGGGAAGTGGTAGAGTCACCATCCCTGGAGGTATTTAAAAGATGTGTAGATGTGGCACTTAGGGACACGGTTTAGTGGTGGACTTGGCAATGCTAGGTTAACAGTTGGACTCGATCTTGAGGGCCTTTTCCAACCTAAATGATTCTGTGATTCTATGATTAAGAATATCACTTACCAGTTTGATCGTCAGTGTCAGAAACTGCAACATAAGAAGAGAAAGTTATTTGGTGAGAATAAGAGAAGCTCAAAAAAAAATTTACTCAAGCATTATTATTACACAGGAGAGGAAAGCCTTGAAGGGAGATTACTAAACCAAAACTGCTTTTTGCTGATGCCCATGCAGAGGTTCAAGCTGAATCTCTGATCAGGATAGGTTGTTCAACTGGCAAGAAACTTTCTCTTTTACTAACTTTACACAATAGCTACCGCTTCACAAAGATAAGCAACCATCTAAAGCAATGTCTCAATTTTTAAGACAGCCTTGGCATTTAGGCAGTGTTTGGCTTCCTAGAACTACACTTTCAGTAGCCCCTTGAGCCAGTTTCTTTGATGTTACACAATCTCACCAATATTGTTGAGCACAGCTGAGGCACACGCACAGGCAACAGTGATTAAGAGAAAAAAAGAAATTCTGACAAAAGCACAAGATACAATGAAAGAAGAACATAAAACCAAAGCGGTTGTCTTTCTTAAATATTTTATCATTCTTAGAGGACAAAGCTTAGAGATGAGTTTAAGAAAACCGCTACTTCGGACAACACTGAGAAACAAACCTATCTATGAAGTCAAAGTGTTAAAATACATTTCTCTTATAAATGTTTGTCTTGTAAACTTACAAGTATATGTCTTTTTTAACTAATCACCTGGAATTGCAAACTTGCACGTGAAAGTCAAGCCAGATACATTCTCTATGCACCTTTATCACACCAATATCCCCTCATCAGTCAACTGTGCAGGCCCAGCAGGAACAGGTAGTGCACAGGAGGAACACACTTGCTATCAAGAGGACAGAATCAAACCACAGATAACCACAACTGTTCAGCAGTAGGAGCCACTGTCACTGAGCACATGCCTGCTCTGAATTGCCTGGCTGCTTTTTGGTGGCATTTTCCTTCTCACTTTGCCAGTTACCATGAGTCAATAAGATAAGAGCTCACCCCAGCGCTTACAGTCATCCGTCTACCGTCACGCATCAGCTATTCTGTGGGTGATGCAGCGAGCAGCACAATCTGCCACAGCTATACGGAATCCTGAGATGAAGGGCACACAGTTCTCATTTGTTGGTACTACAGGGAAGACACTCTCCAGAGCTACCATGATGCTCTCCTCTTAAACAAGTACAAGCAGTAGTGAAGAGAGTTTAGCTACTTTCACTCTAACATGCCTAACGCTCCCTCTTTCTCCTAACTTCCACGAAACAGAAATGTAAGTTCTAATTCCTTCTGCAACTGTCCGTAAAAAGGGAAAACCTGGAAAACGTTAAGGCACGTTAGCTAAGTTTCTTACCTAGATGTTGAAGGTCTTTCTCTTTATAAAGACGAGTCACCCTCTCTAGCAGCTCCCACTTTTCACAGCAGCCTTTGTAGTTGACAAAGTTGCGAGCAAGAATTTCCTTCAGCTGTCGCACAGAGAGTGCATTGATATCTCCGATGCTTGTTAGATCAGAAAGGGAAGCCTTCCTCCCCTGTACCAGGTTATCTTCTGAGTCAGTAGACTGAAAGGGAACAAAGATGGAATGAATCTTGCTCTCAACACCTAGCACTACAATTTAAATCAACTTTCAATACGTGCGCTAGCAGGAATTCATATTTGGCTGTACGTATAGCTTTGATTACTCTGGGAATTCCTCCCTCTGTCAGAAACACAAGTCCTAGGGTGGAAATAAATAATTTCTATTATTATAGTATCCAAGTGACATCAGTTCTTTTTATATGTGGAGGACAAGATGATGCCAAAAAAAGGGGCTGATTGGGTCTGCCAGTGGTCAGTCTGAATTACTGTTTAGCCACCCATCTCTCTGCAGTAATGATTCTGTGGTAGCAAATACAGCCTAGAAAACCTGGTATTCCTTGTCATCCAATTCCAGGACACACAAACCTGTGTCTCCTCCTCTGTTGGTGCTTCTGCTGCATTCTCAACTCCTGTCACACCGACTTGGCTTGGAGGCAC